TTAATGAATGAAAGGATAAAAGTGAGTGTCAATTGTCTCCTTTTTTTTTTTTTTTTTTTTACTTTTTTTTAATTTTTTTTATTTTTGTGGTGTTGAATCTTGAACCCAGGGTCTTGTTCATGCTAGGTGAGCACTCTATCACCGAGCAGAAAAACCCAGTCCCCCTTTTCTTTACAGGGCTTTGTTATAGGTAGCCCTGGCTGATCTTAAACCCATGATCCTCCTGCCTCAGCCTCTTGAGTGCTAGGATTACAGGTACGCATGGCCATGTCTGGCTTGAGATTCAGCATGCCTGATAGGTTCCCAGGTACAGCCGGGCTGTGAGAGGAATCTTCTTCAGGTGAGAGACCCCGAGGCCCGCTCTAGTCCTCCAGTGAGCCTGGAGTCAGCTCTGGGAGCCGCTGCCGTGACCCTCTCCTGTGAACCACACGCGCCTGGCCAGGATTTCCTGTGCTAACTAGTGACAGCTCTTCCCAGGGCCCAGAACTCAAGGCTGGGGCAAAGGACTGACCGCCATCCAGCCCTGCAGGGGGAGCCGGGGCGCCCTCATTCTGTACTGAAGAGAACACGGACGCTGTGAGCCTGGGTCAGCCCACTCTCCTGTGCCCTCCCTGTCCACAGGAGCTGCTGGAGGATCACGGGTTGCTGAGTGGGGCCCAGGTGGCGGCCCCCGCGGACAGCTACAGCCGACTGCAGTGGCGTCGGGAGCGCCGCGCCCTGCACCAGCTGAAGCGGCAGCACGAGGAGGAGGGCGGGGGACGCAGGCGCAAGGTGCTGCGGCTGCAGGAGGATGGCTGCTCCAGTGACGAGGACCGCGAGGGCTCCGCCTCCCAGCGGGCCGACAGCGTTGACATCCAGGTGGGACGGCCAGGTCCCGGGTCAGGGGCACGAAGGGCCGAGTAACACCGGAGAAACAGCCACCCCCAGGGCTTGAAGAGTCTGTCTTGTTCTCACCCCGATGATTGCCATAGCTCCTCCCAACCCGTACATCCTAGCGTAGCACCTTCCACTGTGCGTGTGCGCGTCCGTCCGTCCGTGTGTCCCCAGAGCCACCATCTGGGCCACCACCAATCCTTGTCTCTACAGGATGTGAAGTTCAAGCTTCGGCACAACCTGGATCAGCTGCAGGCGGCCGCCAGCTCAGCCCAGGACCTGACCCGCGACCAGCTGGCCCTACTCAAGCTGGTGCTGGGGCGGGGCCTCTACCCGCAGCTGGCTGTGCCCGATGCATTCAACAGTGGCCGCAAGGACTCGGACCAGGTGGGGTTCCTTCTCCCTCCTGTCCCTGAGTCTGTCACTTAACACATTTCCTGGGCATCCACTATGTTCCGGTGTGACGGAAGGACCCTTGGCTCTGTCCTTGGGCTGCTCTGCACACTAGCCCGAGGGGGCAGGGCTGGAGGAGGGCAAGGCAGTGGGTCGGACCCAGCTTAGGCAGGGGTCCAGAGGACTTCATGGATGAGGAGGGACCTTGTGCTGGGGAGGAGGAAAGGGGACTGGGTGGAGCAGGTCCGCGGCCTCTGCTCCAGTGCTCGTCTCCGCCCGCTGCAGATTTTCCACACCCAGGCCAAGCAGGGCACCGTCCTGCACCCTACCTGTGTCTTCGCCAGCAGCCCTGAGGTATTGCACACACAGGAGCAGGAGGCCTCGGGCCGTGAAGGGAGGAGCCAAGGTACGGTGACCCTGGTGGTACCACCGCAAGCCCTGGTCCCTTCCCATGTGCTGCTGGGCTTCTGGGCCACCGCTGCAGGAATCCAGCCCACGGCACCGCAGCTGGCCCTGTGCTGGTTGGCCTGTGAGAGCCTCAGCTTGGGCCTGAGGAGGGAAGCCCCCCAGCTTTTGTGCAGACATGCAGGCCGAGCCGCAGGGGCCATCCCCAGGCTGGCACTGTCCCCTGCAGCCTGACTGCTCGCTCAGGAGCCAGCTCACCCCCTTGGGTATGAAGAAAGTGAGATGGCCATTGACAAAGACAAGGCTTAGGAGGGGCGGGGTCTAGGGTAGAATCAGCTTTGTTACCCACCATGACTAGATCGCGGCCCTCTCTGTGGGTTCCACTTCCTTCCTGCCTTCCTTTTTGTGGCACTAGATATTGTGGCAGGCTTTTTTTTTTTTTTTTTTGAGCCACAAACCAGCTCCCAAATCAGGACACAGACACAGAGACTTCTCCTTAGTTACGAATGCTCAGCCTTAGCTTAGCTCTTATTTCAATCTGTTTCTCTTGATCTACATTTTGCCTCAGGGCTTTTAACCTTTTTTTTTTCTTTCTGTATATCTTACTTTCCTGCTGTCTATGTCTTTCTCCCTCATTATTTCTCCTCCTCTTCACATTCCACTGGAGCCTGGATTTCTCCTATTTATTCTCTCTGCCCGCCAGGCCCACCTTTCCCTCTTCTGCCTAGCTATTGGCCAGTCAGCTTTTTATTACACCAATCAGGTGCCTTTGGCAGGCAAAGTGAAACAGTAACACATCTTTTCATCATTAAATAAATGTTGCAACCCTTACATTGTTAAACAAATGCATCAGAAATAACTGTAGCACACCTTTACACAGTTTAATACTCTACACATAAACAAATGTAGCACACCTTTCCACAGTTAAAGTAATATTCCACAATGTAAACAAATGTAACACATCCTTACATAGTTAAATGATCCACAACAAGATATTGAGCCCATAGCCTCACATAAGTGAGATAAGTGTCCTACCCAGCTACCTCCTCAGCTTCTCTCTCTTTTCATTTTGAAAATTTCCAGTCACACAGGGTAGTGACGGGTGCCCTCAAGCAGCCCCGACAGCTGGCACCATCCGTTACCCCCTGCTTTGTTACCTTCCTGCTGTAAAATGTAACTTTTTTACACTGATTTACTTTGTGTGTGCAGCATGTGCAGGCCACAGTGCAGGCAGGTCCGTGTTTTAGGGCACACATGTTACCGCATGCAAATGGCAGTCAGAGGACAGTTTGTGGGAGTCGGTTTTCCTTCTAGCATGGGGGTCCTGGGGATTGAACTCAGGTGGTCAGGCTTGGCCTCTACCTCTACCTCTACCAGCCGAGCCACCTCACCGGCTGGAGAATTTTAAAGCACATGTCAGACTTCACGTCATTTAACAACAAGGACTGTTTGTGTCGGGACAGTGTTGATGGCCCTCTCAGGGCGGACAGCAGTTCCGTAGTGTCACAGCCCAGAGCTCACAGGCTGTGGCAGCGTGTTTACCATAAGCCCAAGTCGCCGTCGTAACCCGTGGGCAAACTCTCCGTGTGCTGTGTGATGCCAGGCCCTGAGTGATGGAGGGGTGGTCACGGGTGTGCAGCCGGGGAGTCAGGTGGCTCTGAGCTGGCCACTTTCGCCTTTCAGATGGCAAGGACCAAATGAGCTGCAAGCACCAGCTGCTGGCCTTCGTCTCCCTGCTGGAGACCAACAAACCATACCTGGTGAACTGCATCCGCATCCCGGCCCTCCAGGTAGGCCTCTGCCCTGACTGTTGGATGGGGGTCTGGAGGAGCTGCCCTCTGTCCACACTGGCTGCTCGCGGGGTCTGCGGGGTCTGCGGCTGTGGGCGGTCCTTATTTTTGGCTCTGTGCGTGGTTACTTGTTGAGTGCCTGCTGCTGCCAAGCACTGTTGCCAGCACCCGGTGGCATGCTGAGCGGCCAGGCCCTCTCCTGCCCTCCTGGGCTCACAGGTCAGGGAAGCCTGTGCCTTCATGGGAATCCAGGAATGCAGGTGAATACCTGTAACCCCTGAAGGAGGCTCATGAGTTTGAAGCCAGCCTGGGCTATTGAGATTGTGGTGGGGTTTTGTTTGTTTGTTTGTTTGTTTTGGATGTGGAGGAGTGGCAGGAGGTGGTGGGCACTGACAGGTACGACATGAGCGGATGAGATGGGCTGACTGGCCGCAGTCCTGACGGGACCGGGTCACACTCTGAGAGGAACCTTTAGCAAGAGGGCCAGCGTGGGCCAAGGCCCCAAGGCAGGTGTGTGCTGCTGTGTTGGGCTGGGGACTGGGCCAGGCTTTGATGTAGTGGCTGTGGGAAGCCGAGCCTAGTCCAGGAAGAGGTCCCACCCAGAGTCGCTTCCATGGCCTGAGTGTTCACTTTGCAGAGGAAGCTGAGGTCACTTCGCCGCCTGGGCCACACAGAGTGTGGTGACCCCAGATCTAGGGTCACATGCTGCCCCTGCAGCTCCCCCAGTCAGCTGGATGTCCCCACTCTTCAGACCCCTCTGGTTTTGTTCCCGAAGACAGGAAAGAAACCGTGCAGGGCCTTCAGGAGGCTGCTGCCCTGGACCTCCACCGAGGCCTTTTTCCCGAGCCATGGGTGCCAGCCACCATTGCTGTGGGCGGGGGTCTGTGCTAGCCAGCTGGCAGTCGTGTGCAATGGGAGACAGTGTGCCCCAGGCTCCTGTGTGCTGTGGAGAAAGGGATGGCGGGAAGGAGACATCTGCCATTTGGGGTGGTGTCTGGATCCCAGCCCGCCCCCCTTTGACTGCTTGTTGAGGATGCGGGATCTCAAATGGGCATCACGCGCTGAGCCCTGTGGTACCTGTCACCAGCCAGCAGCCCATCCACCCATGGCCAGCCCTGCCCTTCCTGTGGGACTGCCCCCCAAATACCACTACTGAACAGCACACAGGTGGTCCTGGTCCTGCCTCGGTGTCAGAGACCCCCGTGCCTGTGCCTGGGGTCTTTCTGGCTCCCATCTCCCCTCCTCAGCCTCCCAAGCAGTGGGAGCAAAGCGTGAGCCATCAGTTTACGACTTCCCGTGACCACATCCACTCCCTGTCTGCGGCCCCTAAGATTCCTTGACTCGTAGGCTCCGGGGACATTCCACTCTTCAACTCTGTCTTGGTCTCTCCAAGCTGAGTGTCGGCTGGTGGTGGGGCTGGCCTTGTGCCGTTCACTGTGTCTCCAGCCCCAGAACGTGCAGAGGAGGCCTGCAGGATTGTGGGGTCTTTGTACTGAGTGGACAGGGTGGGAGGATGCTTGGATGGGAGAAGAGGTCGGTGGGTGGATGGGAAGGCAGACAGGTGATGGGTGGACATGTGGATGGGTGGACAGTATTAGCGGGAGAGGGAGGGACACTGGATACGGTGATGGACAAGCGGGGGATGGCAGGTAAGGAACGAATGTGTTTGGATGGGTGGGTTGTAAATGATGGCGGGCACTCTGGGGTGGCTCCCGACTCTCCTCTCTCTTTCAGTCCCTCCTGCTGTTCAGCCGGTCCATTGACACCAACGGTGACTGCTCCCGCCTGGTAGCTGACAGCTGGCTGGAGCTGCAGCTCGCAGATAGTGAGAGTGCCGTCCGGCTCCTGGCAACGTCGCTGCGGCTCCGTGCCCGCTGGGAAAGTGCCTTGGACCGGCAGCTGGCTCACCAGGCCCGGGGGCGGCAGAGGCTGGAGCAGGAGGAAGAGGTGGAGTCTCCAGCAGTCGGCCCCCAGGAGGTGGCTGCCCTGAGCCGGGAGCTGCTGCAGTTCATGGCGGCCAAGGTACTGTGGGGCCCGAAGCGGCGTCACTTAGTGGGGTTCATTTAAGGGATTTTAGTTCAAAGAGGGTCAGTGGTACCCGAGGTCACGTGGCTAAGGGGAAGCACAAGCATTTGCCTCCAGAGGCCATGCTACTAGAGGCATGCACAGAGGCCTGTGCCGCTCATTGAGCAAATAACAGGTGCCTTCTGCATGCACGGTGCACGCTAAGGACATGTGGAGTGTGAGGGCTTAGGTGTCCCCGTGAGGACGGAGGGGAGACGTGGGCAGGGTGGCCTGAAGCCACACTCTTAGGTGGGAACAGACGGCTGCTTCTGGCCCTGCCCCGTGGAGGCCCAGGGAGAGGGATGACTCCAGGCTGACTTGCTGGGGGTGAGGACGGGCCTAGGCAGTTGGGAAAAGGGGGGCAAGCCTGAGATCCCTTGCAGGAGGGGCGAGGTGGCTCAGGGCTGCCTGTGGTCTCACCAGCAAGACGGAGCAGAGGAGAGCCCGGGACGGTAGACGGAGGGGCCGCAAAGTCCAAGCGAGGGCTTTAGGCAGAGCTGACTCTGGGGGTGCCCACGCCATCTCTGTCTCCGGTCTCTCCTTCTGTAGGTCCCCTACAGCCTCCGACGGCTCACTGGCCTAGAAGCCCAGAACCTCTATGTGGGACCCCAGACCATCACAGCCGCCCCTAGCCTGCCCGGCCTCTTTGGGAACTCTACCCTGTCTCCCCACCCCACCAAGGGGGGCTACGCGGTCTCCGATTTTCTCACCTACAACTGTCTCACGGTGAGTGTGCCCACTTGCCGCGTGAAGTCCCCTGCTCGGCCGGTGGGTGGGCGGAAGCTCCAGGCCCCCCTGGCAGTCACAGTCCTGGCCCCCAGCTGGTGAGGCACAGGCCCTGACGCCTCTGCTCCGCTGTAGAGCGACACCGACCTGTACAGTGACTGCCTGCGCTCCTTCTGGACCTGCCCGCACTGTGGCCTGCACATGCCATTCACACCCCTGGAGCGCATCGCTCACGAGAACACCTGTCCCGAGGCGCCGCGGGATGGTCCAGGCAAGTCCAGGAGGGGACGTGAGGGTCCTGTGCCTGCCGAGCGTGACGTCCTTAACCGTTGTCCATCATGCATTGCTGCTTGGGTCTGGCTTGCTGGATACTGGGGACCGGCAGCCAAAGACCCTAGCCAGGACCGCCCAGGACCCGGAGGCTCCTCCCTTGACCTGTCTGTCATCTGTTTTTCTCTTCAGTGGCTGTCGCGGTTTCTGGTTGCACGGCCACCTCTGTCTCATCACACTGCCACAGTCCCGCTCCACGGGGGAGACTGTGGCTGGGTGCCCCAAATGCTGGCACCAGGCACAAGGGTTGGGTGTGAGCCATCGCCACCCCTTTCCTCCACAGGGTCTGAGGAGGCCGCTCCCGCACCGCCACAGAAGACCTCGGCCCTGCAGAGGCCCTACCACTGCCCGGTGTGCGGGGAGGACTTCCTCTTCACCCCCACGGAGGTGCTGAGACACCGCAGGCAGCACCTGTGATCCAGTGCTCCAGGGAGCACCCCAGGTGGGGCACAGTGGGGGGTCCCTGTGAATAAAGCAGACTTTGCATCTGAACCAGCATCTCTCAGTGGGGAGAGCCGCAGCCCTGGTTCAGGACCCCGCCGCCGCAGGGCCGGGACTGCACTGAGGCCGCTGGTGCCTCCAGAGTCCCGGTGGGAATCCCCGAGCCCAGCAGCTCCCTCAGGGCCCCTCAGTCTGCTGCCCCAGCTGGAGATGTTGGGGGGTGTTAGTGTTCATGTGGGACCATGCACTGCACCTGGACAGCCCCCCCAGCCTCCTCTTGCTGCTGCATATAGTTTTCAGGGGCCTCTGCTGGACTTCTAGTCACACCCCACTTCTTGGTGTCCTCCTCTCCTTGCCCCCCCCCCCCTGCACAGGCGGTGCACATGGCCCTTCTCTCTTGTGCCCTGCCTCCCTCCTCATCCCTCGGGACCTCACTCAGGCCCTGCTCCAGGCACGTCACCTCCGCTCCCTGCCCAGCCACTCCTGACACACGCGGCCTCTCTCAGGAGTCTGAGGTGGAACCCAGCTGGGCAGTTACTTCTGCATCGCGATGTCCTCAGCCCCAGACAGAAGCAGCTTAAGGGATGCGGGGTTTCTATCTCATCGCTGCAGACTAGGAAGCAAGAGAGTGAACAGGAGTGAGAGACTAACCTTTAAAGGCCTGTACCCAGAAACTTGTTGCAGGCAGTTCTCACCCCTTAAAGGTTCCGTAGCCTCCCACAGTAATGCCATCAGGGGCTGGGAGACACCTGTCAAAAGGCCTGCTGCTCAGGCAGGAGGATCTGAGTTTGGCTCCCCGGAATCCACATAAAAGCTGAGCATAGCAACACATGTCTGTAACTCCCCAGCTGGGGCTAGGGCTGGAGGCAGGTTGATCCCCAGAGCTCATTGGCTGGCCAGCCTCGCCAAAAACCTTGTCTCAGAAAAGGCAATGTACACTACACACACACACACACACACACACACACACACACACACACACACACACACACGCGCGCGCGCGCGTGCATAGTGCAGTCAGCTGGGAAGAGGTGGATAGAAGAAGTAGGATGCTGGATCTGAAGGAGCAATAAAGCTAGGAGGGAAACTGAGGCCCAAGGGTGGAAGCAGCCACTGTTACAGGCCCTCAGCGTTCCAAAGCAGATACAGTCAACTCAGTTCAGTGGGGCACTTCCTTGAAAGACACAGTCTACCAGACAGAACTCACGGTATTGGTTGCTTTCTTCATCTGTCTGAAAGAAACAAGGAAGGAAGGGTTTGCTGCCTCAGGGTTCAGACCGTGGTGGGGCCACTGAGGGTGTGGGAGTGTGGAGGCGATCGGTTACCCATAGGGGCACTTAGGAAGCAAAGCTTGGGCTGGGAATGGGGCCTGAGGCCCATATGGGCCTCGTGCCTAAGAGGGTCCATGGCTTTCCATCAGGGCCCATTGGAGACACTTGCTCAGGAGGAAATAGACTGAAGAACTCTGTGCATACGCTTAAGTGTACTGTTGGAGACAAAACAGCACTGGCTGTGTGTCACCTTATAAGTCCAGCACTCAGGAGGCACAAGGGTCAGGAGTTCAAGGTTATTCTGAACATCTACATAGTGACTTCAAAGCCAGCTAGGCCTGTGGGATATCTGCACCCACGTTTTTCCCCAGGGTACTCTTGAGGAGAGAGGGATAAGAGATTTAGATACAAATATAAAGGGGAGAGAGAAAGATAGAAACACAGGATAGCCTCAGGAGGGCCTGGATCTTTATCCACTGGCCCAGAACTTTACTCAAACAATGCCAAGGGGTGAGGCAAAAGACCTCCCCCTTGCTATATACAACTGAGTGTAGACCCTTCCAAACACCTGGACCCAGGCCCATGGTCCAGTCATCCTCTTATGCAGTCCGCTGGGTAAAGCGAGCTCAGATTTCACTAGGAATCCTCTGTGGGCTCCCACAGGTCCCTCTTAATATTTTAAAAAGCTCTCCATTAAGAGCTTGCAAGTAGCTGTAACAATCACAGCAATCCCCATAGCTGCCACATCTCCCAGTAAAGGAGTAGAGGATGATAAAGATGTAATATCCTTTTTGGAATGGGTCTAAGATGACTACAGCAGTCTTAGCTGCACCAAGCCCTTTTTTAAATCAATAAACTCCTAATGCAACCACATCAAATAAATCAATAAACTTCTGATGCATCTGCATTAAACTTACATACTCCCTTAGCTTCAACATTAACAGGTTAATATAATAACTCTAACATAAATATTATTATACACAATTACAGTTCCTACAAACGTACATTCAAAAGCAATACTCTCAATATAACCATTAACACTTAAAAACTTTAGCAAACATCCAAAAGCAATTTCTTAATAGAACTATGCAAAGCATAGGGTACATTAACATAGCATCAGTCCACTCAAGGGACAAGAGATTTTTTTAATTAAATTAAATAGACTGAGGAATATTAACTCCCCCTTTTCTTTATAATTTCTTAAGCTGCATCTTGAGCTTAGGTGGAAAAACACCAAACATAAAACTAGTTCCATAAACAGTTCCATTTTTTACCTAAAGTCAGTTCCACAGAACAGTTCTATTTTTTAACACAAAACAGTTTGTGAATCACCACAGTTAATAGAGTCGATATTTGTAGGTAAAGTCAAAATTGTCCCATTGCAATTAAATCACTCCTGTCCATTTCATTTCTTAAGTCTGAAATGTTCAAAAAATATATTCTTGTACTAGTCTTCCAAATATGAAGAAACCCATAACCAAAACCTTTTTGCAGTTAACAATTCTAGTTCAAACAAGTGTCTCTGAAACTTTTGTTCTCAGCCACAGAGGCACTTTCAGTTACAGCAGCATTTTATGGCAGTCTTTCCCTAGGAACCTTGCCTGAGGCAAAGTAACTGCCATAGTAACTGAGCTGCTATGAGCTCTTTGGAAAAACTCTCTGCACAGCCAGCAAACAGAAGCTGCAAGGCTTTTGGCTCCTGACTTTCTTCACAGTGTTTACAGTCCTGGTCTGTCTGTGCCTCACATAACAGGGCTGTTCCCAGGACCTCAGTGTCCTGAGGGCTTTCAAGCTTTCAATTGCCTCACGCCACATGGGCTGAAGAGGCTGTGAGCTGCCACTCTCAGCACCCAGGGGCCAGGAGGAAACCCAGCTGTGGCCAGTCATGGCCACAGTGCCCCAGTTGCATTACCTGCTCTGCTGGTGGTCCTCATGTCCCAAGCTCTGCCAAATGCTGCCTCAGGCTCTCGGATATTCTGGGAATGCACTCCAACTTAGAGCCTCTGTTCCCTGACCCTCCTGGTGTCTGCCCCGAGGGCATCTTTCTTTGGATGCTTTGTCTCCCGCACAGCTGCTAAGGCACCCTGCACTGTTACTCTCCAGCTGCCCACTTGGCTCTGCACCTCCCCTGTGGTATCTCTGCCAGACTCCAGCCACCAGGGATTGTGGAGACAGACCTGCTCCAGCAGCTGGGTTCCAAAGTCTTTGCTGCACTCCAAGCCACTGCCTGCCGTTTGTCTCTCTGGGCAGGGTGTCTCTGCGTGGCTTGTCAAGGTTGAACATAGCCTCAAGCTATCTCTCTCTAGCTGACTGACAGCATTCTCCCGCCATGGCTCTTGCATGGCAGAAAGCACGCAGAACTTGCAGAACTCGTGCTGGTTCTGCTTTCACTGGCTGTTGGCGTCTGCTACTTGGGAAGCTAGGACACTCCATGGGTCTCAGCCGCTGATACTTGGCTGCTGCTGTTTGCACTGGCTCTGGCATCTACCACTGTTGGCAGCTTCTGGAGCTTCTGTAGCCTCACAGACTGCCAAGTTTGCAATGGCTACTAGGTCCTGGATGCTGCCCTCTGCGTCCCAGGTCCCATCCTTGTTTGGGGAAAACCTACTCTACCTTAAGTTTCTATTATCCCTATACCTAAAGCTTATTCTGTCCTAATATACTTAAGCCTACATAATATTGTTATACCTAAAGCTTATTCTACCCTAATATACCTAAGCCTACATTTCTAAGACTTACTTATACTACCATTTTTAAACCTAATTTAGTAAATAGAGATTAAGAGAGAAAGAAAAAGGAAGAACCCCAGATAGAAAGAGATATATACTGCAGGTTCACTTGGGCATCTTTCAGCCACTTTTACTCCTGAGAATAAAATACCATTGCCTTTACTTTTCAGTTCCTTATGGCATGCCTCCTTATACCCACAATGTCCCCTCTCTTCTTTTGCCATATCTCTGGTCCCTGTTCATGGCATCATTTGTGGGGCACCAGCCCCCACCTTTTTTGCCAAGGTATTCTTGAGGAGAGAGGGATAAGAGATTTAGATAGAAATATAAAGGGGAGAGAGAAAGATAGAAACACAGGATAGCCTTGGGAGGGCCTGGATCCTTATCCACTGGCCCAGAACTTTATTCAAAAGGGCTTTTTTTTTTTTTTATAACAATGCCAAGGGGCGAGGCAAAAGACCTCCCCTTTGCTATATACAACCAAGTGAAGACCCTTCCAAATACCTGGTACCCAGGCCTGTGATCCAATCATCCTCTTATACAGTCCTGCTGGGTAAAGCAAGCTCAGATCTCACTAGGAAACCTCTGTGGGCTCCCACACTGGGCTACATAAGACTGACTTCTTTTGAGAATTCTTTGTTTAGCTCTTAAGCCCATTTTTTTTTAAAGAATTTTTTTAAAGATTTATTTATTTATTATGTACACAGTGTTCTGTCTGCACATATCCCTGCAGGCCAGAAGAGGGCACCAGATCTCATTACAGATGGTTGTGAGCCACCATGTGGTGGCTAGGAATTAAACTCAGGACCTTTGGAAGAGCAAGCAGTGCTCTTAAGCTCTGAGCCATCTCTCCAGCCCCCTTTAGCCCATTTTTTAATTGGATTGTTCAGTATTTTGATGTCTAGTTTCTTGAGTTCTTTTTATACTTTGGAGATCAGTCCTCTGTCAGATGTGGAGTTGGTGAAGGTCTTTTCCCATTTTATAGGCTCTTATCTTTATTGGGTTGCTAAGCCTTAGCAAGAATGATGGGCACATATCTATAATGAAGCCA